GGCCAGTTGCTAGGAAGGCCCTGATTGGCCAGCTGCTATGAGGGCCCTGATTGGTCGGCTGCTACAAGGCCCCTGATTGGTCGGCTGCCACGAGGCTCCTGATTGGCCGGCTGCTATGAGGTTCCTGATTGGTCAGCTGGTATCGCATGGATAACATGGATTGCATTCTTTACTTTCGATAGGGGGGGCAAGTGACCACTGTCCTATTGCCTTGGCACTAATGAGGCGGGTGAGTGATTAGTCGCCCAAGGCCAGTTCCTGTCACCGAATCTGCCGGTGTAAATTCTTATAAATAAGTATTGCTGAATTTGGTTCATTACATAGGAGGCCCCTGATTGGTCGGCTGCTAGGATGACCTTGATTGGCCAGCTGCTACGAGGGCTCTGATTGGTCGGCTGGAAGAAGGCCCCTGATTGGTCGGCTGCGACGAGGCTCCTGATTGGTCGGTACGAGGCCCCTAATTGGTCGGCTGATATGAGGCTCCTGATTGATCGGCTGGTAGGAGGCCCCTGATTGGTCGGCTGCTACGAGGCTCTTGATTGGCTGGCTGCTACGAGGCTCCTGATTGGCCGCCCACTAGGAGGCTCTTGATTGGTCGGTTTCTACAAGGCCTCTGATTGGCCGTCTGCTACGAGGCCCTGATTGGCCGGTTGCTAGGAGGCTCCTGATTGGTCGGTTGCTACGAGGCTCCTGATTTGCCGGTTACTAGGAGGCTCCTGAGTGGTCGGCTGCTACAAGGCTCCCGATTGGCCAGTTGCTACAAGGCTCTTGATTAGTCGGCTGCTACGAGGCCCCTGATTGATCAGCTGCTAGGAGGCCTCTGATTGGTCAGCTGCTACGAGGCCCCTGATTGGTCAGCTGCTACGAGGCCAACATGACTGTGACCACGTGGTGTCCCACGGCTGTATGTAAGCTGCGGCGTCCAGCTCCAAAGCAACACAGAGCCAGCTTGGCTCAGTCAGGAAAGCTTGCACCCTCCCACTGCTCTCTAGCTGCTGGTAGCTTGTCCGCCCTGCTAGCTGACCATGTAGGGTGTAGCGGAGCTCAGTCAGACGTCTACGCAGGACAAGGATCACGCCGCTTGCTGCCTCCTCCCTGACTCCAGGATACACAGCTCAGGACGAGGATCACGCCACTTGCTGCCTCCTCCCTGACTACAGGATACACAGCGCAGGACGAGGATCACGCCGCTTGCTGCCTCCTTCCTGACTACAGAACACACCACGCAGGACGAGGATCACGCCGCTTCTTGCTGCCTCCTTCCTGACTACAGAACACACCACGCAGGACGAGGATCACGCTGCTTGCTGCCTTCTTCCTGACTACAGAACACACCACGCAGGACGAGGATCACGCCGCTTGCTGCCTCCTTCCTGGCTACAGAACACACAATGCAAGACGAGGAACACGCCGCACGATGAGCATTAGCAATAAAGCTTTCACCTCCCACTGATCTCTAGCTGCTGGTGGCTTGCCCGCCCTGCTAGCTGATCATGTAGAGTGTAGCCGATTAGCTAAGCACTGCTCACTACTGTATTCGGGCCTTCAGCACAAAGTAACGTATGATCACGGGGTGTGTTTTATCTGCCACTGGCCTGATGGTTAACGGTGTGTAATAAAAGCCCCGGCATAACCGGTGTGAACACCGTTACGTTGTCGTTGAGTCTTATGAGTTGCGTGTGGATTCCGTTAGTCCAGTGGTCGTTCCTATCAATGCACACGCAATCGTGCAGGCCTAATAGCGATGTTTCACGTGACGTCATAGAGCAGGTCACGTGTATTGCGTGCGTGCGTGCGTGCGTGTGTGTAGGTACACGTGCGTGCGTGCATGCATGTGCACGTAGACGTGCGTACGTGCACACACACACTCATGCACGCACGTGTACGTGCACACACACGGACGCACGCACGCATGCACGCACGTGTAAGTTCGCACGTACGCACGCACATGTACGTACGCACGCACATGTACGTACGTACGCACGCACCCACGCACACACTCATGCACGCACGTGTACGTGCGCATGCACGCACGGACGTGTACGTGCACACGCACGCACGCATGCACGCACGTGTACGTGCCCACGCACGCACGCACGCACACACGCACACACGCACACACGCACGCACGGAGCACGCACGTACACGTACACGTACGTGCACTACATAAACAGCGCTTTCTATCAGAACATGTGGTCATTCATCTGTAAATGTCAAGCAGCACGCTTCGCTTCTGCCAACCACAACACATAACAAATACACGTGACCTGCTCTATGACGTCACGTGAAACATCGCTATTAGGCCTGCGCGATGGTGTGTGCATATGTTTGCTAGTGAATTAGACCCGCTAAAATTCGAGACTGTTCGCTAGCAGCAATTTATCCGTGCGCCGACCTTTCGATTTGGCGCACGGATCAATAGCCGCCAGCGCGTGATACTTTCGTAGGACGTTCCCGCGGTCGCGTGGGCCTTGCCGCGGAACTGCGCGCAAGATCCGCGCTTAGCGGGCAGGATCAACACCTCTCAGGCAATGCTTCTCTGGTATCCGGTCTCTCATCTGGATTGACGTTATAAGGAGAATGGTAGACGTGTTTTAGGTCGGGCGTTTCTAGGGTCATTGTGAAATGGAAGTAGGACGCGGTCTGCGATAACGGGTGACATGTGCGCTCAGGATGTAGGGGTTTTGGGAGTAATATATTATAGGAGAGATGTAGGAGTGGAGTCGGGTTGTGGTCGCGGGAGAGAGCACATGCGCTTAGGCGCGTTTGCGCGTGTCTTTGTCTCTCTGTGCAAGATGTGATTACACTGTGTGCAAGTTATTAAAGTTTATTCAGTTTAATACACAAGTTTGGATTTCTACTTCATCATTTCTACATGAACTCAACATTACATGAACACTCCTGAACAGCCTCATGAACACTACATGAACTCAACATTCAACGTTACATTTTGGTGCCAGTGACAGTCAAAAATCTGGGTATTCTTTTGCGGACGCAACGTAAGGTACGCCACTATGTTATTTACGGGCTATACTACGCAAGGAAGATGGAGAAGGAAGAAGACACAGGAGGAGTCGCTGAGTACACTGCTGGCAAGAAAACTGGAAGGGAAACGGAGAGCGGACGAGAGAGCAAGAGAGAGGGAGGAAGAGAGAGAGAGAGAGAGAGAGAGAGAGAGAGAGAGAGAGACGGGAA